TTTGCATCATCAGTCCATACTTATTCGGTTTAGTTTTCTTGTAGGCACAGGAAGGACATCGGCCCACGAGCATCTCGTATTTTGTAGGGGACTCACCCGAAATATAACAATTTCGACAGTTCTCTATGAGTGTCTCGAAAATTTCACGTATTTGGAGAAATTTATCGGCATTTCTCGAGTCACAGGGTTATTATTTTCCAAATTGGTTGCCACGGACTTTAGTTCAGGTAAATGCGTAATAATCGACCAGTTGCAGGCGCTCGTTTTGACCAATTGTACATGTTTTTTCCATAGGCATAGCGAGGTCGCCCATAGGAAGTTGTTCAGGTTGATCGATAGCAGCGTCGTCCTCGGCGTAGTCTATAGTGTATTGTTCATCCGTCAACAACGAAAAAATCCATTGTGAAGGAAGTTCAAATCGTACACGCAACTGACATCCTCGGATCAAATTTGACCGCAAAGTCAACAAACCAACAATTGTGATGTTTAAATTAAACTGTGGTTTGAGGTATACGTGCTCATACCGTATGAGAAGTCACGGGACCCCCACCACATAACTGAGAAAGCTCGAATCATCCGACGATATCATTAAAGGATTAATTTCTATATTCTTGAACGAATCTATAAAATCAAAGTGGCTGGGTTTCAATTTACATAGCTCTTTGTATGGTCTTGTTTGCTGATCAACATTATATGATTTCTAGACATGTTCAATCTGTGCAGCTTCTTCACTTTCATATTAATGTCAATAAGAGCATTTCATCCATTTTTGAATAAATGTGGTTCATCACAAATTGTAGAAATACTCTGAGCATTGACTATAAAATGGAATGGACTTGATCCGTGAGTATTCTCCGAGCAAATCGTCTCAAGTGCGTTTTTGATCGTTGCGCCCTGATTAGAAATAGTGCCAACAACGCACAAACCAAGTCGCTGCTAGTTTGTGATCACATGAACAATAATCGTTTTCAGATCTGGGATTCTTGTATCTTTTACTAGATAATAAGCCACAACCTGCTTATAATTTTTACGAATCCCTCTTATCATGGAAGTAAGGGCATGATTTCTGATAAATCACTTTTTCAGAGTTCTAGTTGATTTTGTTACCTCAGAATTCAAGATTTATTAGCTGAAAATTGTACACTGTGAGCACTGGGATCAGCCCTAAACTTTGTCCAAACCCTGCAATAATCGTAAACACTAAACAAGGGTAGACATATTTCTAGTTTAACTGCCTGAAGATTTTCTCTATGGTTTATACGTAACTCTCCACCTATTATCTCATTTTTGTACATGTTCTGGGAGAACTCAACTTGCTCCCTATAAAATGCAACGTCTTCCTGCACAGGTGGTTCTGGTTAAGTGCCAGCCTGCTTCGGGTTTGTAATTAGTTGTTGCAATTTTCTGATTTCGTCGTCCTTTTTCATAATCCAGATTTCGTTTTGGCATTCCAGTTCAGCCATTTGATCCTGAAGCTCTTTTATAGTAGAATCATTATGGCATCGTATATCTGAGATTTTAAATGAGTGGTTGACCTCACGTTGGTTACTCTCGTCCATCAGACTCTTTACGTCATTTCTCAGTTTAGATTCAAGTTCTTTTAGGAAGCCAATTTCATCTTGCAGTTCAGCAATGTGTGACATCGTTACATCAGTTTGTGTAGCAGCACTTAAAGAATGTTGCATATCTTCGTACTCAGCGTCAAGCATAGCTTCTAAGTCTGCAACCTTCTTTTTTGACTCAATATTTTGAGCTTCAAGAGATGGTTTAGGGCTCTCTGATCTTCCTAGGTTCTTCAGTTGAGTACGCAGCATCTCTATTTCTGACTCGTATGTTTTTAGTCTTTTTATTATTTTTTTCCAGAAAATCGAGTCTGTATTGCAAGTCGATGAAATTCTTGCGCTTTTTGAGAATTTTTTTGAACTCTTTCTATTTCTTCGTTGTACGCATCCGTTACTTGGCGGAGTTCCTGACTGTAACGATCGATTTAGAATTGGCTTCTGTGAGCTGTTTCTTCAGGTCCAAAATCTCCAGCTGATTATCTAGTTTAGTGAATTCTCTAAGCTCATTGAAAGATTCTTCCAGTTCTTGCGTTTTTTTAAGTACACTTGCACGTCTTCAGCTATCACAGATTCTGCTTCGGCTAGTGCCTCCTCATATGTCTCTTCTTGAATAGGCCTCATTTCACGTCCGGATGATTCTTCTTTGGGTGGATAATTTTTCAATGGCATATACCCTAGGGATGCTTTTTTAGGTGATACGTTGCCATAGTGTCCAAAAGTATGACGTCTTAATGTTTTTTTCGGTGTTGATGCCGAGGCTCCCATTTGAAAGCGCCCGACAATAGATACTTCCGTTTTTAGTCTTTCTATCTCGAGCAGATACTCTTGTTTGCTTTTATCCATCTCTTTTAGCTTAATTGCCTGCTTTTTGAGCCGAGTTTCGAGATCGCGAGTCAAGTTCTGATATCCTTGAAGTGTCTCTTCTGTAGCTGACAAGATGTTTACTTTCGTTTTATTTTTGACAGTTTTAGTGCTTTGGGCGAATTCTGGTGTAGATCTAGTCTCCTCCTCTGCAGCTAAAGTAACATTCCCGATAATCAATGATTTGGCATTACCGCCAAGAGCCTGTGAGAGCAGTCTAGTCAATTTCGAATCGCGATAACTGATAAACTCCTTCCCCTCGCTTAGTTGCCTTATCACATTTCCTAATACTGACAAAGATTTGTTTATGTTAGCCCCCTCTTTAAGACGCTCACCAGCAGCTTTCGTCAGAGAAACTCTCTCAGAACCAGCTAAGTCCATTAAGTTAAGGTAGCTTATATGTACAGGTCCATCTTTCTGATTGGCATCTTTCGACTCCAGAATAATCCGGAAAATCGTGTGTGATCGAGATGACCTCTCATTCATGCGAGTAGCTGCAACTCGTCTGATCTTATTGCCCTGCATCATGTTCTCCATAACTTTATCAACATTGTCTACGACAGCTTCCCTTGCATCAAGCAGCACATTTCCTTTGATATCTTCTCATAGTTAAACCCTGATTGCTCTTATCCAGGAGGTCATTGATCTTTTCATTGTAGATTTCAATATAACTGCATCTAATCAAGTACCTCTTATCAACCTGGTCTGCCACATGCTGGAATAACTGATTGGATACTAATTGGAAAAGCCCAGGATCTGTTTTATTGCCCAAAATGGTGTGTGTTTTGCCAGAAGATGTTTGGCCATATGCAAATATTGTGGCATTGAAACCTTCCATGAAGGAATCGACTAAAGGTTTTACTACAGATCCATATACATCTGAATTTGTACATTCCTGATTAAATACATGGTCGAATATATAAACCTCTCCATGGCGACTACTTTCATCGGCTTCCCATATGCAGTTTACTCTTACGTTCCAAAGACGCTCTAGACCATCGGCTACTTCGCGGTGGATCATTGGTCTGATCTTTGTGGCTACTTTAATATTGTTGGAAGTCATTTTGGAAGCTTGAACTGAAATTTAATTAGAACTAGGGCTATTTCACGGGTTATAAAGAGGGGCAGATGTATCAGGTTGATACATTCTTTTTTTCCTCCTTTCCAGTATAGAAGATTTTTTTCTCTTGTAGGCTATGAATGCGGTCCGATAGTTTAGTAGAGCTACATTTACAGGGTGACTCAAAATCAAAGAAGAAACAGAATTGTTAAATTTCATATAGACTGTTATTGTTATTACAAAAAGAAGTTGAAGCAGCAGCAAATTCTCACAAATCTATAGATCCATCACTTTCAGCACCCGATTTTTCAACTTGAAAAATGCAGCTCGGTGAAGAATCACAAGGTAACTGTTGTCTATTCAGACAATACTCTTCTAAAAGCAACGCGAAGTTACCTAGTGCCTTACATGAATCGCCTTCATAATTCTTCATTATTGTCAATGGAAAACTGAAATTGTTGATTATTACAGTTTTTAATGCTTCAAATAAACAGATGGTGTTCGTGTTGGAAATCCCACGTCTAATCTCGCAAAACAGGTTATCCACCGGATCTTACTATCAACATCTGAAATGCCATTACTGTTTTTAGCCATGTGTACAACAGGTTTGTACGCATAAGACACTCTTACATGAAAACTGTTTATTGTCTAAAAACGAAAATACCCCATTGAAGATGAGTAATGCAATAAAATAATCCTCGAAACTTGAACTGTAATATGAACATAAAAAAACTAACAAAATGGGCCATTTAACAACATATTTGGTGTTGATATTCTACAACAAAAACAAATACTTTCTCGTATAAGGAAACATACAATAATTAACATTTATCACTTTTCACGAAACAATGTAAGTGCGCTGTGACTTTACATACTTATTACAGATTGTAGAACATTTTTTTCATTGTGTATTGTCATGTAACACCTACGTCGTTTTTTTTCTTTAACAACTGCATCAGGATCGAGAACTCTGGGCTGAGAAGTAGACGGCTTACTTTATTCGTCGTTGGTAATTTAGGATTCTTTGCATGGCTGAACGAAGCTCCCTAGGAAGTCTTGGATCTGATAAACGTCCTCTCATACGAAGTTAAATTAGAGTTTGCCTCAGGGGAACAATAAAATTTCGTCGCCTAATGGAACTTTCAGTCCCAGACTGAAAAAAAAAGGAATTTACAGAAGCTGGTTGGATACCAAATAGCACAAGGCCATCTTCTCGTTCTCTAACCAGTATTGTAATTTACACACTTCCGATCTAATGCATTACCCCCCGCCTTCATAGTGTTATAAAAAATATAGGATCTTATCAGGTTTCTTTGATTCCTCTACTATTTTGTTATCATGCTGCATAGATTGCTATACGAGAACATGTGTATTTGGTTTTGGAAGATACTACTCTAAGGCTGTACAACATAAACTTAGAAGTACCTGGCTGTGTTTCCTTCTTATTTGGAACTACATGTTGGGGTACTTGTTACTTATTTTTACGCTTCCTGCCGACATAGGTCAGTTGGTTGATGCGCAATTCTACATGTAATTCTACTGACGTGAACCAGTCATCTGCTGTGATATTTCTGTTCGTATAGACGAAAGCATTGAGCAGGTAGTGGTGAGTCTTTGCATCATCAGTCCATACTTATTCGGTTTAGTTTTCTTGTAGGCACAGGAAGGACATCGGCCCACGAGCATCTCGTATTTTGTAGGGGACTCACCCGAAATATAACAATTTCGACAGTTCTCTATGAGTGTCTCGAAAATTTCACGTATTTGGAGAAATTTATCGGCATTTCTCGAGTCACAGGGTTATTATTTTCCAAATTGGTTGCCACGGACTTTAGTTCAGGTAAATGCGTAATAATCGACCAGTTGCAGGCGCTCGTTTTGACCAATTGTACATGTTTTTTCCATAGGCATAGCGAGGTCGCCCATAGGAAGTTGTTCAGGTTGATCGATAGCAGCGTCGTCCTCGGCGTAGTCTATAGTGTATTGTTCATCCGTCAACAACGAAAAAATCCATTGTGAAGGAAGTTCAAATCGTACACGCAACTGACATCCTCGGATCAAATTTGACCGCAAAGTCAACAAACCAACAATTGTGATGTTTAAATTAAACTGTGGTTTGAGGTATACGTGCTCATACCGTATGAGAAGTCACGGGACCCCCACCACATAACTGAGAAAGCTCGAATCATCCGACGATATCATTAAAGGATTAATTTCTATATTCTTGAACGAATCTATAAAATCAAAGTGGCTGGGTTTCAATTTACATAGCTCTTTGTATGGTCTTGTTTGCTGATCAACATTATATGATTTCTAGACATGTTCAATCTGTGCAGCTTCTTCACTTTCATATTAATGTCAATAAGAGCATTTCATCCATTTTTGAATAAATGTGGTTCATCACAAATTGTAGAAATACTCTGAGCATTGACTATAAAATGGAATGGACTTGATCCGTGAGTATTCTCCGAGCAAATCGTCTCAAGTGCGTTTTTGATCGTTGCGCCCTGATTAGAAATAGTGCCAACAACGCACAAACCAAGTCGCTGCTAGTTTGTGATCACATGAACAATAATCGTTTTCAGATCTGGGATTCTTGTATCTTTTACTAGATAATAAGCCACAACCTGCTTATAATTTTTACGAATCCCTCTTATCATGGAAGTAAGGGCATGATTTCTGATAAATCACTTTTTCAGAGTTCTAGTTGATTTTGTTACCTCAGAATTCAAGATTTATTAGCTGAAAATTGTACACTGTGAGCACTGGGATCAGCCCTAAACTTTGTCCAAACCCTGCAATAATCGTAAACACTAAACAAGGGTAGACATATTTCTAGTTTAACTGCCTGAAGATTTTCTCTATGGTTTATACGTAACTCTCCACCTATTATCTCATTTTTGTACATGTTCTGGGAGAACTCAACTTGCTCCCTATAAAATGCAACGTCTTCCTGCACAGGTGGTTCTGGTTAAGTGCCAGCCTGCTTCGGGTTTGTAATTAGTTGTTGCAATTTTCTGATTTCGTCGTCCTTTTTCATAATCCAGATTTCGTTTTGGCATTCCAGTTCAGCCATTTGATCCTGAAGCTCTTTTATAGTAGAATCATTATGGCATCGTATATCTGAGATTTTAAATGAGTGGTTGACCTCACGTTGGTTACTCTCGTCCATCAGACTCTTTACGTCATTTCTCAGTTTAGATTCAAGTTCTTTTAGGAAGCCAATTTCATCTTGCAGTTCAGCAATGTGTGACATCGTTACATCAGTTTGTGCAGCAGCACTTAAAGAATGTTGCATATCTTCGTACTCAGCGTCAAGCATAGCTTCTAAGTCTGCAACCTTCTTTTTTGACTCAATATTTTGAGCTTCAAGAGATGGTTTAGGGCTCTCTGATCTTCCTAGGTTCTTCAGTTGAGTACGCAGCATCTCTATTTCTGACTCGTATGTTTTTAGTCTTTTTATTATTTTTTTCCAGAAAATCGAGTCTGTATTGCAAGTCGATGAAATTCTTGCGCTTTTTGAGAATTTTTTTGAACTCTTTCTATTTCTTCGTTGTACGCATCCGTTACTTGGCGGAGTTCCTGACTGTAACGATCGAATTTAGAATTGGCTTCTGTGAGCTGTTTCTTCAGGTCCAAAATCTCCAGCTGATTATCTAGTTTAGTGAATTCTCTAAGCTCATTGAAAGATTCTTCCAGTTCTTTGAGTTGTCTTTTAAGTACACTTGCACGTCTTCAGCTATCACAGATTCTGCTTCGGCTAGTGCCTCCTCATATGTCTCTTCTTGAATAGGCCTCATTTCACGTCCGGATGATTCTTCTTTGGGTGGATAATTTTTCAATGGCATATACCCTAGGGATGCTTTTTTAGGTGATACGTTGCCATAGTGTCCAAAAGTATGACGTCTTAATGTTTTTTTCGGTGTTGATGCCGAGGCTCCCATTTGAAAGCGCCCGACAATAGATACTTCCGTTTTTAGTCTTTCTATCTCGAGCAGATACTCTTGTTTGCTTTTATCCATCTCTTTTAGCTTAATTGCCTGCTTTTTGAGCCGAGTTTCGAGATCGCGAGTCAAGTTCTGATATCCTTGAAGTGTCTCTTCTGTAGCTGACAAGATGTTTACTTTCGTTTTATTTTTGACAGTTTTAGTGCTTTGGGCGAATTCTGGTGTAGATCTAGTCTCCTCCTCTGCAGCTAAAGTAACATTCCCGATAATCAATGATTTGGCATTACCGCCAAGAGCCTGTGAGAGCAGTCTAGTCAATTTCGAATCGCGATAACTGATAAACTCCTTCCCCTCGCTTAGTTGCCTTATCACATTTCCTAATACTGACAAAGATTTGTTTATGTTAGCCCCCTCTTTAAGACGCTCACCAGCAGCTTTCGTCAGAGAAACTCTCTCAGAACCAGCTAAGTCCATTAAGTTAAGGTAGCTTATATGTACAGGTCCATCTTTCTGATTGGCATCTTTCGACTCCAGAATAATCCGGAAAATCGTGTGTGATCGAGATGACCTCTCATTCATGCGAGTAGCTGCAACTCGTCTGATCTTATTGCCCTGCATCATGTTCTCCATAACTTTATCAACATTGTCTACGACAGCTTCCCTTGCATCAAGCAGCACATTTCCTTTGATATCTTCTCTTATAGTTAAACCCTGATTGCTCTTATCCAGGAGGTCATTGATCTTTTCATTGTAGATTTCAATATAACTGCATCTAATCAAGTACCTCTTATCAACCTGGTCTGCCACATGCTGGAATAACTGATTGGATACTAATTGGAAAAGCCCAGGATCTGTTTTTTGCCCAAAATGGTGTGTGTTTTGCCAGAAGATGTTTGGCCATATGCAAATATTGTGGCATTGAAACCTTCCATGAAGGAATCGACTAAAGGTTTTACTACAGATCCATATACATCTGAATTTGTACATTCCTGCTTAAATACATGGTCGAATATATAAACCTCTCCATGGCGACTACTTTCATCGGCTTCCCATATGCAGTTTACTCTTACGTTCCAAAGACGCTCTAGACCATCGGCTACTTCGCGGTGGATCATTGGTCTGATCTTTGTGGCTACTTTAATATTGTCGGAAGTCATTTTGGAAGCTTGAACTGAAATTTAATTAGAACTAGGGCTATTTCACGGGTTATAAAGAGGGGCACTTTTCATAATCCAGATTTCGTTTTGGCATTCCAGTTCAGCCATTTGATCCTGAAGCTCTTTTATAGTAGAATCATTATGGCATCGTATATCTGAGATTTTAAATGAGTGGTTGACCTCACGTTGGTTACTCTCGTCCATCAGACTCTTTACGTCATTTCTCAGTTTAGATTCAAGTTCTTTTAGGAAGCCAATTTCATCTTGCAGTTCAGCAATGTGTGACATCGTTACATCAGTTTGTGTAGCAGCACTTAAAGAATCTTGCATATCTTCGTACTCAGCGTCAAGCATAGCTTCTAAGTCTGCAACCTTCTTTTTTGACTCAATATTTTGAGCTTCAAGAGATGGTTTAGGGCTCTCTGATCTTCCTAGGTTCTTCAGTTGAGTACGCAGCATCTCTATTTCTGACTCGTATGTTTTTAGTCTTTTTATTATTTTTCCAGAAAATCGAGTCTGTATTGCAAGTCGATGAAATTCTTGCGCTTTTTGAGAATTTTTTTGAACTCTTTCTATTTCTTCGTTGTACGCATCCGTTACTTGGCGGAGTTCCTGACTGTAACGATCGATTTTAGAATTGGCTTCTGTGAGCTGTTTCTTCAGGTCCAAAACTCCAGCTGATTATCTAGTTTAGTGAATTCTCTAAGCTCATTGAAAGATTCTTCCAGTTCTTTGCGTTGTCTTTTAAGTACACTTGCACGTCTTCAGCTATCACAGATTCTGCTTCGGCTAGTGCCTCCTCATATGTCTCTTCTTGAATAGGCCTCATTTCACGTCCGGATGATTCTTCTTTGGGTGGATAATTTTTCAATGGCATATACCCTAGGGATGCTTTTTTAGGTGATACGTTGCCATAGTGTCCAAAAGTATGACGTCTTAATGTTTTTTTCGGTGTTGATGCCGAGGCTCCCATTTGAAAGCGCCCGACAATAGATACTTCCGTTTTTAGTCTTTCTATCTCGAGCAGATACTCTTGTTTGCTTTTATCCATCTCTTTTAGCTTAATTGCCTGCTTTTTGAGCCGAGTTTCGAGATCGCGAGTCAAGTTCTGATATCCTTGAAGTGTCTCTTCTGTAGCTGACAAGATGTTTACTTTCGTTTTATTTTTGACAGTTTTAGTGCTTTGGGCGAATTCTGGTGTAGATCTAGTCTCCTCCTCTGCAGCTAAAGTAACATTCCCGATAATCAATGATTTGGCATTACCGCCAAGAGCCTGTGAGAGCAGTCTAGTCAATTTCGAATCGCGATAACTGATAAACTCCTTCCCCTCGCTTAGTTGCCTTATCACATTTCCTAATACTGACAAAGATTTGTTTATGTTAGCCCCCTCTTTAAGACGCTCACCAGCAGCTTTCGTCAGAGAAACTCTCTCAGAACCAGCTAAGTCCATTAAGTTAAGGTAGCTTATATGTACAGGTCCATCTTTCTGATTGGCATCTTTCGACTCCAGAATAATCCGGAAAATCGTGTGTGATCGAGATGACCTCTCATTCATGCGAGTAGCTGCAACTCGTCTGATCTTATTGCCCTGCATCATGTTCTCCATAACTTTATCAACATTGTCTACGACAGCTTCCCTTGCATCAAGCAGCACATTTCCTTTGATATCTTCTCATAGTTAAACCCTGATTGCTCTTATCCAGGAGGTCATTGATCTTTTCATTGTAGATTTCAATATAACTGCATCTAATCAAGTACCTCTTATCAACCTGGTCTGCCACATGCTGGAATAACTGATTGGATACTAATTGGAAAAGCCCAGGATCTGTTTTATTGCCCAAAATGGTGTGTGTTTTGCCAGAAGATGTTTGGCCATATGCAAATATTGTGGCATTGAAACCTTCCATGAAGGAATCGACTAAAGGTTTTACTACAGATCCATATACATCTGAATTTGTACATTCCTGATTAAATACATGGTCGAATATATAAACCTCTCCATGGCGACTACTTTCATCGGCTTCCCATATGCAGTTTACTCTTACGTTCCAAAGACGCTCTAGACCATCGGCTACTTCGCGGTGGATCATTGGTCTGATCTTTGTGGCTACTTTAATATTGTTGGAAGTCATTTTGGAAGCTTGAACTGAAATTTAATTAGAACTAGGGCTATTTCACGGGTTATAAAGAGGGGCAGATGTATCAGGTTGATACATTCTTTTTTTCCTCCTTTCCAGTATAGAAGATTTTTTTCTCTTGTAGGCTATGAATGCGGTCCGATAGTTTAGTAGAGCTACATTTACAGGGTGACTCAAAATCAAAGAAGAAACAGAATTGTTAAATTTCATATAGACTGTTATGTTATTACAAAAAGAAGTTGAAGCAGCAGCAAATTCTCACAAATCTATAGATCCATCACTTTCAGCACCCGATTTTTCAACTTGAAAAATGCAGCTCGGTGAAGAATCACAAGGTAACTGTTGTCTATTCAGACAATACTCTTCTAAAAGCAACGCGAAGTTACCTAGTGCCTTACATGAATCGCCTTCATAATTCTTCATTATTGTCAATGGAAAACTGAAATTGTTGATTATTACAGTTTTTAATGCTTCAAATAAACAGATGGTGTTCGTGTTGGAAATCCCACGTCTAATCTCGCAAAACAGGTTATCCACCGGATCTTACTATCAACATCTGAAATGCCATTACTGTTTTTAGCCATGTGTACAACAGGTTTGTACGCATAAGACACTCTTACATGAAAACTGTTTATTGTCTAAAAACGAAAATACCCCATTGAAGATGAGTAATGCAATAAATATAATCCTCGAAACTTGAACTGTAATATGAACATAAAAAAACTAACAAAATGGGCCATTTAACAACATATTTGGTGTTGATATTCTACAACAAAAACAAATACTTTCTCGTATAAGGAAACATACAATAATTAACATTTATCACTTTTCACGAAACAATGTAAGTGCGCTGTGACTTTACATACTTATTACAGATTGTAGAACATTTTTTTCATTGTGTATTGTCATGTAACACCTACGTCGTTTTTTTTCTTTAACAACTGCATCAGGATCGAGAACTCTGGGCTGAGAAGTAGACGGCTTACTTTATTCGTCGTTGGTAATTTAGGATTCTTTGCATGGCTGAACGAAGCTCCCTAGGAAGTCTTGGATCTGATAAACGTCCTCTCATACGAAGTTAAATTAGAGTTTGCCTCAGGGGAACAATAAAATTTCGTCGCCTAATGGAACTTTCAGTCCCAGACTGAAAAAAAAGGAATTTACAGAAGCTGGTTGGATACCAAATAGCACAAGGCCATCTTCTCGTTCTCTAACCAGTATTGTAATTTACACACTTCCGATCTAATGCATTACCCCCCGCCTTCATAGTGTTATAAAAATAATATAGGATCTTATCAGGTTTCTTTGATTCCTCTACTATTTTGTTATCATGCTGCATAGATTGCTATACGAGAACATGTGTATTTGGTTTTGGAAGATACTACTCTAAGGCTGTACAACATAAACTTAGAAGTACCTGGCTGTGTTTCCTTCTTATTTGGAACTACATGTTGGGGTACTTGTTACTTATTTTTACGCTTCCTGCCGACATAGGTCAGTTGGTTGATGCGCAATTCTACATGTAATTCTACTGACGTGAACCAGTCATCTGCTGTGATATTTCTGTTCGTATAGACGAAAGCATTGAGCAGGTAGTGGTGAGTCT